ATTTCCTTTCTGTCCTTGGCTACTTCTGGAATGAACTCTGTAAATAAGGCTCATTTCTCTCATAATTCATCTCTGAGTCGTCGTGGTTTGCTGGTTAAGTAGAGAGAGAGAGATTTATGGAATAGAAATGCTGAAATATTGTGGCAAACAGGCTTTTAGCAATGGGGATAAGTTGCCAAATAGATTAATCTTGTGTATTTTTGTGTTGTTTTCTGCTTTCGGTTCATCTGGCTACAAATGATCCGAGAAATGGTATTTCTTTTTTGGCAGCCTTGAGAAAGCTCGAGAATTGTGGACAATACACCGCTGGGATTCAGCGATCCCTTTTGTATTCTTGCAGCGTTGTCCCCTGATGTTTTGTCCATGTCGCTTTCCAATACTGGTGCCTTGTGCCCACTCTGCATAGAAACCAAAATGTTTTGAACACATACGTATGCTGTCCCTACGCATGTGCATACCTGCACACGCGCACACACCCCCTTCTGTATGTTAAGATTCAAACTCACTGTGTCCGTGACAGTTTCACTGTTGATAGGTGTACAAAGATAACTTTTTTTTTTCCTTCTTCCTGAAGGGTATGACCCCACTAATGTACGCCTGTGCTGCTGGAGATGAAGCCATGGTCCAAATGCTTATAGATGCCGGAGCAAATTTAGATATACCAGTGAGTAATAAAGGACCCTCTCCCCGTAATTATTCATCTGTAAACTAACAAGAGCAGTTATGAAATCTCTCCTAGCAACCGAAGGCTTCATTTCTGGAAGCTTCTGAGCAAGCCACTTCTTTCAGAAATCGTTGCTTCAGGGATTTGGGAGGGGGAAGAAAACCTTCAAAACCTCTTGGAGCACTCAGTGGCTCCAATTATGATTGGCATTGGCAAGTCTAATAGGCATGGAGGGGGTGAAGGGGCCTCCCTCCTGAAAGAGCTGCCACTAGGAGAAACCAGTAAGCCCATTAAAAAGGCCCGGGGGACTGGACAGAGTGACTAGTGCTGGCAGTGTTCTCTAAATGGCGTAAGTTACCGTTCCCTGGGGTTGTCACTTACAAAGAAAAAAGCCAGTTATGTACAAGTCTAAAGATTATGGCAGACAGAGACTGCAGTGGTTAGTAACTACCTGGTTCCTTTCTCCCAGGTTCCCAGTACCTCTCCACGATACCCTTCAGTCCACCCCGACAGCCGGCACTGGACCGCGCTCACCTTTGCTGTGTTACATGGGCACATTTCTGTTGTTCAGGTAAGCAGAGGAAATCCCCTGGTGGGAATCCTGACAGGAGACACGGAGGGACTGACGTGCAGCACTGTGAGCTGAGTGCTGGGCAGCACCCTCGCCGTCAGGCTTCCTGAGCACGGGTCCGTCACGGGCTCCACACGCAGTTTGGTGGAAGCCTTCTAAAAAACCAGTGAAAAATTGCACGTTTGGAAAATGAGGAGAATGCAACTGATGCTCTTCTTGCGGAACTGTGAATTGATGATGTAATTCTTAGCAAGGCCTTGATGACAAAACACAGTATGTTTCCTTATTGTTCTTCAGTTTCAGTATTGGTCCAAGGCTTACCACTCCCAGAACAATGCTGCACAATCATTTCTTTGGTATTAGATAAACCAGTGCTTCATGTGGAGTGGTTACAGGTAGACTGCTTGATCAGGATGCTTTCTGACATTAGATGTTAATTGGTTTATACATTTACATGTGCAAAAATTAAGTGTATGCTGATTTCTGCTCTAATGGCAGCAAATCATCTGTAGCTTCCTTTATAACCCTTGAGAATTGCATGAACAAGACTTAAGCTGCCGTGGGAATCGAGCCTCTCGCATCCTCCCTGCTCCCTTTTCTGTGGAATTAATGCAGGGGGCAGCGGAATGGGGTGGAGTCCTGGAAATCCGACCTGAACTTCAAGAGGAATTCAGAACTGATCACAGCCCATAGTCAATTGCTGGTGAATTTAATTTACCTTCTGCTTAAAGGGGGAAAAAAAAAAAAAGATGTAAGCAAATGGAGGCTGCACACACTCATTTTTTATTTGTGTGCATTTGTACATAATTACAAAGATTAGATTCCACCTGGCAAATTGCCAGGGCAGCCTTTGGTATTACGAAGGTTGGACGGCCTTAATTTACATGTGAGATAAGAGCGTGATTCTCCCAGGAGATGTAGCCAAGTATATCAAAGCTCCTGTTGGACTGCATTACCCACAATGTTTGTTTCTTTTATTTTGGTTAAAACTTTTAAAGATTACATAAATGTCTTTCATTTGGCAACTATTATTAAAAGGGCAGGATGTCAGCTTTTGCCGAAATCGGTGTATAAAATTGCCTTTCCAGTTAAGGTCCACCATGCGATACTTGCATGGAATAGCTGGCATCTCAAGAGAGAAACCAGCCCATGAACCAGCCGTCGTGCTCTGCAAAAAGTTTTATAATTAAAATGCGAACGTATATGCTGTTTGTGCCAAGGCCAAGGTCATCACTAATGGGGGATGGCTGAAACTGTTAAATTGTGACAATGTTATAGGATACAGCCAGCTGGACTCCTGCGCCCAGTGGAGGAACCTCTGCTGCTGGCAGCAGCCGAGGGCTGGTGATGCACACGCGGGCAGGGCTCATCCTCCCTGCCGTGGGAGAGGGGCAGCACCCACCAGTCTGCACCTGCAAGCGATGCTCTGGGTGCCCGATGCTGTCTGCCAGCCCTACCTGGCCGTAAAAGGTCCCCATCATCTTGTAACCTTCTCCCTTCATCTGGGAGGGGGGCAATTTCCCTTGCGAGCAGCTCGGTGCGTTCAATGAAAGCAGGTTCTGTGTGTGGCAAATCACTGCAGCTGCCAGGGCCTCCTGACGCAGGCTCCACGAGGCCTGAGAGACCAAGAGGTATGTTTGGCCTCCAGGGCTAATTCCCTGGAGGAACCCTGTTTCCTGAGCACAGCATGAAACTAAATAAGATGGACTTCCTGCACTGAAGAGAAGCTCTGATTGCAGAACTCTTTGGAGTCAGGAAATTACAATTGCAAAACCATGTTCACGAAGGAGATTAAAAAAATGAAAACAAAACAACCAAGTAGGTGATGTTCTCCAAGCTGCCAGCTGAGCACCTTTCCAGCATAAACTCACGATTGAAAGCACAGTAAAGCAAAAGAAAATAAGGAAATTGTAAATTGACATTCATGTGGAGACTTTAGCCCTAGGCTGAGCGAGGAAACGCAAGAGAGATTTGCCTTGTAATAGATATTTTGCTTTAGCCTTTGAGATGGTCCCTTTGTGTGCATGCACTCTTCACTGTGAATCTACTGGTTTTCCTTTCTAACACACAGCCTCTTCTGTTTTGTCTTTCTGAATTGCTCTTTTCTCAACTCCTTGTCTTTCGTGTCTGTTGCAGCTGCTCTTGGATGCTGGTGCCCACGTTGAGGGCTCTGCCGTTAACAGTGGAGAAGACAACTACGCCGAGACTCCACTTCAGCTGGCTTCAGCAGCAGGTAAGCTCAGTGCAGCCTCGGCACACTCTGTCTCTTGCTACCAACCAATTCATGTGGGGGTCCAGTATCTGTACAACCCATTAGGAGTCACTTTGCACTGCATTCTAAGGTACCGTGGGTAAAGATATCAAATGAGTAGCACAGTGAGCTGGCTACTAAAAAGTCAGCATTTTTTTCATTTTTGAAACGCTGGTAGGAACCCCGTCTGGGTTGGCGGCAACTAACAACCGTCGTCATGTGGCAAGAGCTTGATGGGCACTAAATGAGTGTCTGCTTTTGCAACTAGTCCCAACACTCGCCTCCTGCCAGCGGCCTCCATAGTAAAGCTGACTGAAACAACTCTTTTGCACAGGGCACTGTCAAGAAACATAAACCAGCTACTGTCTAGTCTAGGCATGTCTTGCATCTAAATAACTTCCAGATGCAAAAATTAACAAGTTTAAATTCAGCCTGGGGAAAAATAACTGCTATATAAAGAAATTTATTTTTTTTTAATTTATTAAATATAAGTAAAATGCTGCGTTCCTTCTACCTAACTGTCATGAGAAGAGTTTAGCATTCTGTGAACGAGTCTGTGCTAGCCTAAAAGTACCTGTCTTTTTTCAACACTTTTCACCATCTAACTGTTTTTACTTTTTTTCCTTCATTTCTTTCTGCTTCATTTTTGTGCATTTATGAAGACGAGTCTCTGGCTTGCTCTGCGCCAAGCTTTATTGAAGGGATAAAAAAACGGCCTCCTCCCCTCCTAGTGACACATACTCATTGTGCTGGGTCTCTTGCCACCACTCACTACTACATCTAATGAAAACGGTGGAAAGGAGGCCCGGCTGAACGTGGACTGCACCGATATACTTGTCCGCAGGGTGGTTTTGGGAAGCTGTGGTCAGCAAGCGCAGCATAGAGCAGCTCCCGTCGGGCCTTCTCTGTTACCCTCATCCACCAGCTGAGCAGCCGAGACCCTGATCCTAGTTAAACTGGTTGCATCCATCTCTGCTGGTGTGTATTGAAAGCGCCAGACCAGTTAATTCTCTTCTCGTTCTGCCTCTAGCTAGTTGTGCGTTATTAGGTAATTTAAGTGCTTTGTGACTCAGTTTCTCTCTCTGAGATGTCATGAAGCCTAATGCATGCTTGCAGGATGCTCTGAAGGCCTTAGCTGGTAGCATAGAAGTTGCTGGTGCAGCGTCTGTTACCAGTCCTGTTACATGCTTTCAAAGAGGTAACGGACATGGAATCATCATTATGTTTCTGTCCATTTTTTCCTAGGGAACTACGAGTTGGTCAGCTTATTGCTAAGCAGGGGTGCTGATCCACTCCTGAGTATGTTGGAAGTTAATGGTATGTCTTCATCGCTTTACGAAGATATGAATTGCTTCAGTCACTCAGCTGCACATGGGCACAGGTAAAGCTTCGTTCGTGTTTGAAAGGTTTTTTTTTTGCCTAAGGCTATCACTGTAGGTATTCCTATGTGACTTTGTATTACATGTCTTATACCCAAATCCTTGGGTGTGCAGTTCAGAAGATGGTGTTAAGACTGTCCTGATAACAACCATTTTTTAGTGCAGCACAGTTTCTCGGACTGTTTCGATTCTGATGTAGGTAGTGCCTTTTGAGCATTTCAGGGAACTGAAAGATTCTTTAAACTGGTAGTTGCTCTCTATGACATCCCTTTGAGAAAAAATGATCCGAGACTTTCATTATTCAGCAACTATAACTCTGATAAAAGAAAGGGATTATATTTTAGTCAAAAGCACGAAATACAACAGGAAGATCTTCGTTTGCTTTTTCTTATTCTCTCACTTGCTGGTCTAGCTCTGCAGCACTAAGAGTGAGTAGGAGCTGGTTCTAGGCCATACGTGAGCAGACTAAGTTCCACCTATAGGTAGGTTATGAGAGTGTGGTTCATGTTCTGAGACAGAATCTAATGACATTAAGGTGGCAAAAATAATCTGCGGCAGACTTTGGTTGACTGCATCTCTGGTTTTTGGATGGCCGACCAAGAGATCAGTCATTAAAATGCTGAAAAGCCAGCCTGGGCTTTCCAACCCTGTTTTCAGGGTATTTAGAAATAAGACATTCCTTACAAACTCATCCAGAAATCCTTCTGTTCCCAGAAAAAAATGTTAGCGTAACAAGCCAATTAAAACAGCCCTGAAACCGCCCGTGTAGATGGGCTGAGAGATATCCACAGGGTCTTACAGCAGTACAGCTGGCCCTTCCAGTAGCACGTTAAATGGTAGCTACCTGGCTTGAACGCAGCTGTGCTTTACAGCGGTGCCAAAACTGCACCTCCAGGTACACTGCACATCTGGATACACCACGGAAAATATCCCAAGCTCAAATGAGGCCCAAACTCTGCAAAGCTGGAACAGCCTAATGCGGTTATTTACTGTGTAAAACCACACAAACACTGTTCTCTTCCCAGCTCTGTTCCCCTCCCACAATCTTCTGCAACATCTAACCATGCAAACTGTGAAATTTAAGGCTTATTCTCCAATCGGATAGGGCAGGGTGATCCTAAAGCACAAAATTAACATTTTTTTAGTCATACTGAGTAGCATGGGTGCAAAGAGAGCACCAGCTAGTGGCAATTCAGTGTCACAGCTGAGTACTTGGGTGGACTTGCTGGGATGGGGAACGTCCGCTGCAGATGGCTCCAGCTGTCTGTAGGACACCAATGATGCAAGCTTCCTAAAGTGGCTGGACACAAACAAGAAAGTCTCTTCCTTGCAACTGCTGTGTGAAATTCCAAACCAAAAAAATTCTCCCTGGATTTAGTGATGCAGAGCTATCATTTTTTTTATGGTTCCATTTACTGGTAGAGGAAGCGAGTCTGACTAAAACAATGTGACAGTGCTTGAAGATGGGTCTTTTGGGAAAACAGCAAGGGTTCTAACAGACACTCTCTGGTAAATCTTACTTCAGAGCTTAAGATATTACCACACTCCGGGCTGGCAGAAGGAAGCGTGCTTCTGTGCCAAAGTATAGACTGCAGTAAAAACCAGTCTGCCCTAACGCTCTGAAATATGCCCTGGTACCACTAAGGTACAGGAGCATATTCCATTCTTTTGCCCTTGCTGCCAGG